ATAAAATTAATAACTGAAATTAAAATAAGTTATTATTATAAGTTGTTTCTGACTAGTCTTTCTTATTAAGTGGGAAGGTTTTTAATCAGTCACTGTCCCGGATTCTCCGCGCTTAGGAGCTCTGACACATTCGTGGATGCACAATGGTTGTATCTGGTCTTAGAGTATGTTTCGCCAGCTTAAGAAAGTTGCAATAGCAATAGCAATTGATGTTGAACAATTTTCAACTTGCTTTCAGGCCGACCTGGCCAAGTACATTTGTGAGAATCAAGAGACAATCTCCAGTAAGCTGCAGGAGTGCTGTGCAAAGCCCGTGCTGGCAAAATCCCACTGCATTGCGGAGATCCAAAGAGACGAAATACCTGCGGACTTGCCTGCATTAACTGCTGTCTTTGTTGAAGATAAAGATGTCTGCAAACACTACGCTGAATCAAAAGATGTCTTCCTGGGCACGTGAGTAGATAAGAAATGATGTTTTCATAACCTTCACATGGCTTCATGATTTAAGGAATGTGTGGTGGGCTTTCCTCTGAAGCCACCACAATGTCCATGTTGCTCAGCCTTCTTCATCCTTCTCTCTTCCAATCTTTAAAGTTACTTTGAAAAAAATAAGTGGAAACATTGTCATGATCTAGCACATATATTCTTATGGCAGAAGCTCAATATTCCTTACTCCTTGGGGGTATTTTTGGAAATGTCTCTAGAAATAGTCTCTGTGCATATAAATTATGTATATATAAATTTTATGCATATATAATCATGTAATCATTCCTTCATCCTAAAGGTATTTCATAAACATCTAAAATGTATATGAATATACATTGCCTATCAACTATTTATACATCTATCTATCCATATCAATGCATCTATATGATGGCAACAAAGACATATAAATGGTATGGAGTCTGATATCAAGTGCTTTACATTTGATTGAAAAGACAAGAATAGCATGGCAGGTAGCACATAATTAAATGACCAACTATTATATATTGCCAGTAAGTGTG